CACTCCTGCTACTCCTGGTAGAAGGAGAACATGTTACAGGAATTGCTTTAGCTATTGATTTTTTAAAAATTGAAAGGCTGCCATAGCCACCCTTGCTGCTGTGACCCTTCTAGAAACACTGGAGCGAATCCTGGGATTGGTGGGTTGTCCTTTGGGAAATGCTGCCTCTTCAGTCCTGAGCTCCCATCCTCCCGTTGTTCCTTGGGCCGGAGATTGCAAAACCTTGGTTGTAGGGCCAGGAAAGACGGTAAATGAGTGAGCGGAGGAGGGCGGGGTTAGGGCAGGCCCAACCCGAGTCATAGAAGGCGGATGAGTATGTGCCATGCTCACGGGAGAGACCAGGAGGTAAGATTTGGAATCTCTTAAGGTTTATGAGAAGGTGCTGGGGAAACGATTCTGTGTTAAATACAGTGTCGTACTCCAGAAGAGGAGAATGACAAACCTTGACTGAAATGCTTACTGTGCTCCTCAAGTTAGAGAGTGATGAGTCCTAGGAGTCAGGGGAGGGGCAGTTATCCATAATAATAAAAGCATAATATGCTAATTAGACCGGACATACTTCCAGACGAAGCCAGGGCTGCAGCCCTGGGATCCAGGCAGCCACCTCGGCTGTGAGGGAAGGATCCAAGTAGCTGCCGTGGCTACGAAGGCCTACTGTTGCACGAATTTTGTGCATCGGGCCTCTAGTTTTGAATGAAAACCTCTCCTTTTGGTTTTCATACCTGCCAACCCTCCCTACGTTCTTTCCTTCTATACACAGAGCTTAATGAGCCTAAATGTAGCACATTCCCTTTTGAAAATGTACATTCAGTCCCTCTAGTTCATAAGCTACATGTCCAAGGTTCTGTGTCCGGAACAGTCACTCTACTTATGCTTTAAGTAGAGAAGTTATAAGGGAGATGCAGGTGGTCTTTGAGGAAACTTTATGTTCAGAAACTGATTTCCCTTCTTTATGGTTTAAAATTTATATATATATTTGAAATACAAAGCAATCTTTGAAGTAGGCTAAAAGCCAGCTAAAGCCACGTGGTCACAGAGCAGGCTCTTTGTAAACACCAGTGACTGGGGGAGGGGCTGGAGGGGACGGTGTTCTGTGGGTGTCCACTCACCGTGTTCTGAACGGGCTGTAAGTGTTCTGAGGGCTGCTTAGCTTTGCCATTCAAGGTACTGGGGGAGGTGATCTTCCTGTTTACCTACTGCTACAACAAAAGGCTTCTGGTTCAGAAAATTAGAGGAGCACGTGAAATTTAAACACGAATATAAAACAAGTCTCTGAAATATTCCCCTTGAGTGTTGGTATTAATTATTACAGGAGAATTTTAACCTCAGAACCCAAGCCTCTGCTTCTGGACCTCGAATCTGAACCAAATGACGAAAGAATTTGTTCATAGAATATTTTAAATTTCACTTTAGTTGTTTTCACAAAATACAGAGGCTCAGTTGCCTTCTACTAGCCTACTAGGTTTTTATCATCTAGAGAGGCTGCAGAGTTACAAAGGCTTTTGATGATCTCAAAGGAAAAATTTTGAAAAGTAAACATGACTTTTTAATATCCTGGCAGGAGAAATATTTTAAAGGTAACACTCAAGCTTACTTTTCAGAAAGAATTGCTTTTTTATTTAAATACTAGAGGCCCAGTGCACAAAATTAGTGCACGGGGGAGGGGACAGGGGAAGGGGTTCCTCAGCCCGGCTTGCACCCTCTTGCAATCCCAGACCCCTTGGGGGATGTCTGACTGCCGGTTAGGCCCAAGCCTGTGGGACATTCCTCTCACAATCCGGGACTGCTTGCTCCTAACCACTCACCTGCCTGCCTGATCGCCCCTAACCACTCTGCCTGCCTACCTGATCTCCCCTAACCGCCTCTGCCTCAGCCCCCCTGCCACGGCTTAGTCCAAAAGGATGTCCGGAATGACATCCAGAAAGTTGTTCGGCTGCCCGATCTAATTAGCGTATTATGCTTTTATTATTATAGACAATAGCCCCCTTGGTAGGTTCCAAGACCTCCATTGGATGCCTGAAACCAGGATCAGTACTGAGTCCTGATATACTAGGTTTTGTTTTCTCTACACAAACATGCCTATTGTAAAGTTTAATGCCTTTTCCATCTTAACTAAGAATTGTCACACACTATGGCTACAATTTTTGCGGTTTGACTTGCGACAGCAAAGCTAGCACGTATTTCTTTAGCCTTTTCACAATTTAATGGCTAGAAGAATCGGTCTTACTGTAGGTCTTAGCAACCACAACATCCAATTTATTTCTTAGTAAGTTGAGAACTTTCACTTTTTTCCTTGAAAGAAGCACTTTATGGCATATCTGAATTACGAGCCTCACTCCTCTGTCGCTTTGGGACCATGAGTAGTGAAATAAGGGCGACTTGAACATGGCCTGAGACACCTGACAGTCCATCTCATCACCAAGGCGGCTACTAGGTGACCACTGGGCAGGTGTACATGCAGCGTGGAGACGCTGGACAAAGAAGTGATTCAGGGCCTGGGCGGACGGAGCGGGATGGAGCAGGAAGGTGCGAGATTTAAAATGTGAATTGTCGATTTCTGGAATTTCTCATTTAGTATTTTTGGATTACAGTGGACCATGGGTAACCAAAACCTTGAAAAGCAAAACCAAGGACTGAGGGCTACTGTAATCCCATTTATATACTTTCCTAAATTCATTTATTAACTTTAACTTATGCAATTTTCTAGGAAAATTGCTTATACAAAGACAGTAGCTTGAAAAAATGTTCAAGCTTTTATTTCTGGGCTGTGTTTCCATTATTTCATTTCTTGGTATAAAGAGCAATTATTTTCACGTTTTCACCTGAGCACATACAGACTTGTCTACCTGTCTTCTCATTTAAAAGAGAAAACCCCGAGAGCACCCTCATGCCCGCATTGCTTCAGCTACATCTGTCACAGAGATTCCCTGTACAGTGTCCTTAATTCAGATAGTGCTGGGTGGAACTGATGTTTTTAATGGAAGTGAGAGTAGGTAAATTAAAATTTTTATTCACTAGCGCAGGAACGCTAGCACATAACTCCTCTCAGAATAATACAAATGAGGAACTTGTCTAGGATTTGTGAAATAAAACTAAAATGTCCCACTCATATTGTGGAGTGGGGCAAAATGAGGGATGAGGGTGGCAAGTTGATAATAATGAAAATAGGGAAAGAAAAAGAAGGAAAGAAAGTGAGGAATAAAAGGGAAAGATGCAAGAGAAATGGAAGGGGAGGAGAGAAACATGGGGGCTATCATTATTCATTCATTCATTTATTCATGTCCAAATATTTATTTTGTGCCCAATGTGTGAGGCTCTGGGAATTTTAAGCAGAGAATCAAACTAGTCCTTGTGTTCTTCTGGTGGATAAAATTGCCATCCCACCCACTGAACTGACGGAAAAGAAGGTGAAAAAGTTGACCTAGAATGGAGAGAAAGGATGCGCAGTGGTATGAGCAGGACATACAGAGACTTGGTGCCCAAGGACAAGAGAGATGGACGATGAACTTCTACCCCTTCTCGTGGCACAGAATTGCGTCCCTTTCCCCTCACAGTGCCTGTGTTCTGTTTCTGTTCTCATCCTGTTCAGGATAATGACACCCCCCTCCCCCAGGCATATTGAGGGTCACACCCATGCAGCCATCCATCTATCAGAACAAATGTGTGCTGGTCACTTCCATGTGCCAGGCACAGTGGGAGACCCGGGAACAGTGGTCAGTGAAACGCTAGCATTGCCTTCTGGGCATTTCACAGTCTAGTTGTGTATGGTGTCCAGGAAACGGGTGGGTAATGGTCCAGTGTGATACATGCTCTAAAAGGTGAGGGCCTGGGAGGAGGGGCACCTCTAATACTTTCAACAAGAAAGATAATTTTTTTTTTAAAGTCAGCTACGTCTGGGGATCAGATGAAGTTCCTGGAGGAAGAGACAGCTAAGTTAACATGGTAGCCCTTCAAAAATATAATTCCATCAGAATAGACCTATTTTGTAAAAACCTTGAATTTGCTTCACAGTTCAGAAAAAAATTCAATTTTCATTTGATTTGAAAGTTTGCAAATTAGATCTCTTTGATCTGGTTTTTCATTGGTGGGTTGCTTCAGTAAAATTCCTGATTATACTTTTAAAATATGTACTAGCCCTGGCCGGTTTCGCTAAAAATCAATGGAAAAAATGCCCTCGGGTGAGGATTAACAAGACAAAAAAAAAAGTATTCATATCCCACCCCCCAAAAAGATCATACCCATTTTTAAAAGCTTAAAGTTTCAAAAAGAAAACACAGGATTTTTTTGTTCTATATTTTTACCATCCATTTTATACATAAAAAAGTATAGGCAGTACACTGTTTCAACTTAATGTGAAACAGATGCCTTTAAAGCAGTTTAGCCAGAGCGTGTTTAAAATACGTGTATGTACACCAGTTTAGTTCCCGATTAGAAACTGCAGCGTTGTCAGACTTTTGGAGGAAAAATGCCAAATCGTGTAGCTTGCGCTGGATTTCATAAAAAGCTCTTCGGAGCAGAGGGAGAGTCTCGAGGACTCGCGCTTTCTTAGACTTTGCGTCCTTTCACAGGAACCTGCCTCCAGCCCTGACTGCGCCCTCCAAGCCCAGTGTCGCTGGCCCAGTCTCGCTCGCACGTCAGCGAGGCCTTTTCGAATTTAACAGGACCGAGGCCTTCCTCCCAGCTCTCACAGCCCCTGTGCCTTTCAGCCTTCTGTAATTTTTTAAATTTGTACACAAGCTTCCTAAGTAATTCCCTTTGGCGAATGCAAGGAAGACAGGGTGCAGCGGCCCATGTTCCGGTCTGAACTTGGTCAGGGCATCCGCTTCTGGTATTGACCCCCAGGAACCACCGGCTGCGCCATGTCTGGCCGTGGCCTCTGAAGTCAACTTAAGAAAACATATGTAACTTGACGGGAGAGGGCACATGGGAACCCCAGGCCCGGTGCTGGCTGGCGCCTGGCTTTTTACAGGATGTTGGTATGTCTGTCCTCACCCACCGATATGCTCTTACGTGCTGCCCAGGTATGTTCTTTCGCAGATGAAAAAGCATCCGGGTTTGGCTTGGACCTCGCCAAAGCTGCCAGTCAAAGGCCCGCGTTTATTTTGAGAAGTTTCTTGGGTGACTCTGCTAACCCCACTGTCCCCCTTGTTTCTGCAGTTGATCTGCAATTCCTTCACCATCTGCAACGCGGAGATGCAGGAGGTCGGCGTGGGCCTGTACCCCAGGTATGGCATTTCTCTCTGGGAGAAGCAACTTTAATCCCCACCCCCGGGCCCCAGCCTTTGGGGGGCAGTAGAAAGGCTATTGCAGCAGCTAGTTGGAGAGCCAGGCTTAAAACCCGATGGTAATTTACAAGAAAGTGGAAAATGTTAAGTTTAAAGAAAACAACTCTATAACCCCATATAATATGCTGGGGGAGTGATTTTCAACCGTGTGCCTCAAGGATTTTTAGAACATGCAACACCTGACCAGTCAGGGGCACTGACCTCTTTTCCCTTAGATTCTCAGATTAAAAAATGGCAACAGCTTGCACAACCATAGCCGTCTAGTGTGGCTGAATCAAAATTATACCTTTTTTTTTGTCAGATTGGCAACAGATATATTCTTTGGTGCGCCGCAGAATATTAGTAATCGGTTCATGTGTGCCGTGGGCGACAGAAGGTTGACAGTCACCGTGGTGTTAGCCAAGAGGCAGCCCTCAGACCTGAATTCCTTTCCGGGGAACTTGGTTAGAAGGTGGGGCTGTGGGTTCCGTCCTTTGGCTCAGCTCACTCGAGCCCAGGGCCCCAGGAGGCCGGACGCTGGCCGTCACTGAGGTGGCCTTTATCACTGAGCCACTAACCTGTCCCCCACACGCTCTCCGTCACTCCTAGTGTCACGCCATGAGGGTCCAAATACAAACCTCGTCACTTTGTAATTAACCTGAGAATCCCGCCTCTTCTCTTACATCTCACAAGTGTCGGACCGCAGGGCCATTGGCGCTGGCCTTGGAGAGCAGAGGGGTGCAGCCAGGTGCTCTGAGGTCAGACGCCTGGGCTCAAGTCCAGTCCCCCTCACTAGCTGAGTCCTGGGGCAGTCACCTCACTTCCACGTGTCGTTTCTTTACCTGTGAGTGCCCCTCGTGAGAACGATCACATGATCAAACTTGATAAACATGCTCAGCTGCTCAGAAAGTGCTTTCTACATGTGAAGGCTCAGGGGCAGGTGTTCTAAGTGTTGTCAGATATGGAGGCAGCTTCAATCCAGTCCCTTCCCCGGGTGGTAAAAAAGCCACCTGCAGGGAGATGACATCACTGGCCAGGCCCAGGGTGCACTGGGTCGTTAGCAAGACAACCGCAGTGTCTGCTGAGGAGGAAGGTCTATTACTCATGGTAGCTGCGACGCCCCAGCCGAGGTGGCCGCTCCTCCCAGGCTGAACAGACGAGGTCCCGTAGGAAGGTCAGCTGTGCTGGCCGCAGGGACACTGCCGCGTTCCATTACCTGTCTCAGGGGGGATGTGCTTGCATGGCTGTCTTCTCCGTCTTTATATCGGGCTGTCTCACTGCCTGGTACCTAATGAGACAACCACTTCCTCCCCACCCCCACCCACCCCCAAATAGGACTCAGAAAACGTGTTTATTAACAAACTTCCCCACTTAGCCTCCATCCCGGGGAGATTTCAGTGAGGAGGCAGTGGCTAGAGGCCTTGTGAGCGCCCCAGAGGCTCCCTCCTGGGCCCCGAGCCTCGCCTGCGCCCCTCCCCCAAGGGAATTGTATTCATTGCATGTAGATGTTGGACTCTGCTGAGCTGTGATGGTCTCCCCTTTTTTCTTCTTTCCTCCAGTATGTCTTTGCTCAATCACAGCTGTGACCCCAACTGTTCGATCGTGTTCAATGGGCCCCACCTCCTACTACGCGCCGTCCGAGACATCCAGGCCGGAGAGGAGGTAAGGAGCCCTGGTTCTCACTCCTTTTCCCCCCAAGCCCCTCCCAGCCTGGTCCTTCCCTGACACTGGTGCCCGAGGGACAGCTTCTCGTTGTCCTGCCCAGGAGAAAACACGCCGCCTCAGCCCGGCCGACTTCCCCATCGTTACTCTCCAGGTTATAGCCCGGCTGACTTTTAGTTGCCGTTTTCCTGGATGGTGATGGTCCCTAGTGTATGTATGTGAGAGGTGTGTGCACGACAGTGTGTGTGTCCTGAACACACGACAGTTCATGCCTCACGTTTCTGCAGCTGGTCCTCATCCTTCCATGGCATGAGCCCCCAGGGCTTGCTTATCTCAGGGCCACTCCTCACATCTCCATGGTGACTCCCTTTCACTTGTATTAAGAAAGCAGATCAGCTGTAACCTTTTAGGTTGTCATTGGGCCTTTACAAACCTATCGGCCTGTCTGGTGATTGTTCAGGCAAAGATGCGAAGGGAAGCAGGGCTGTGACCTCTGGCAGCGGCCTGGCCTTGACCCTCCCATGTGTGGCCGGCCAGGCAGCCCTGCTGATGAGGAACCGCTCAGAAGCCAGGGTCTGGGATGGGCTGCTCCCGGCTGCTGCCCGCGCCGGCACTGGGCTTGCGCAGCTGCCACCTGAACTCTGGGTTACGGATAAGGACGCTGCGGAGAACCCAGTCTCTTCTCCCCTCCCAGCTGCTAAAGTGGATGTTTATTGCGAGGAAGACAGAGTGGTCATAAGATTTTACTGCATCTATACAGCACTCGGCCAGTAAAACACAAGTATTTGATGTAGACAAGGATTTGGCCCGATAAGACTCCCCCGCAACTGATCTTCCACTGAATAAGCTGCCGCTTACAAAGGCATTCATGAGTTTCCCGTCTTCAGGACCAGGCCTTTGGGAGCTCTGTCAGCAATAAGAGGGGCGGGGGTGGGGGGTGGGGGTGGGGCACTGAGATTTGTTTCTGGGGCCGGACACGGCTTCAAGGCGGCTGAGAAAGGGAACCTGTCCATTGTCAGCAACTTAGTTTAGTTCTGAGGGGTGGCTGCTGTCCTTGATAATCATGATTATGGTGCTGATGCTGACGATGGTGGTGTTTTACTAAATTTTAAACAAAATTCTGTTTGCTTATCAAGGTTAGAAATGATTGGCATTTTCAGAAACAAAGGAGACATTTTCTGACATCTTGTTTTCTAGGCTTGCCTGCCAGGCATTCTCCTTGGTTGGTTTTCACTTAGTCGCAAACACACCTCGTCTTTTGGTGTTTATTTTACTGTTTCATGCCCTTCTCCTTCCATCTCTGGAGAGACAAGCACCACCCCTTCCTCTCGCCCCACACAAGGCGGCTCTGCCTGCATCGGGCCCTGCAGGTGCGGATGTTCTCCCCGCGGTACTTGTCCAAGCAGCTTCTCCACAGGGCGAGGTTCTCCCCTCAGCCCTCCCTGGACAAGCTTGTGCTTCTCCCGGGGGCCCGGTGGGCATCCAGGGGACACCTGTGGACTGTGCAGGACTGTGCATCACTGAAGGAGGCTGGCGTCCGCTCAGTTATGCCTGAGGCTGCCCCACCCCTGAATGCATCCTGCACATTAAAGCTGACCCCTGGGCAGAGCAGGGGAGAAGGAGAACCGTGAGGCAAGGCGTGCCGGGCTTGGTGAGGAGGGGTCATTCCTTTTCATTGTGCAAATATTTGCTGTCGTTAAATTGGGTAACAAGTAAATTTAGAAAATTTGGTCATTTCAGCATCAACTCTGCATTGCAGCTTTCTTGCTCACCAGGGCCCGCCCAGTTTCCTATGTGCTATGGGCATGTGAGTACCAGCCTGAGGCCCCGTGAGGGAGGAGGCACCGTGCCTGTGGCTTGGACACTCCCCGGCCTGGACCTGCTGGGTGATGGGTGAGGCGTCCTACAGGCACAGCCAGAGGTGAACAGACTCAGCCTCCGGTTTGAAACTACCAGCACCCGGGGGCGGGCGACCCTGGAAAGAAAGTGACACAGGAGCCAGCCGTCCCAGTGTGAGAGGGAACGTTTAAGCCAGACAGGAGCAGGAAAGGTGCCCGGAAGTCACCGTGGAGGCTTCTCACCCTTTGTTTCTCTCCCCGGAAACCCACCTTTGGCCACTTGGGGGCCATTTCCGTTAAAGCAGCACCTAAGTGAACACTTTTCTATTTAAAGGCTTTCACTGTGATGCTGAGGTGGCTGTGTTGTGGGTTTGTTTTGTTTAAGGCTCACAAGCTGGATGGCTGATGGCTGCCTTCAGGGTTTTGCCAGGTTATGAAACACATATTATCGTCGGACAGTCTTCTAGAACGTGCGTTAGGGAAGAAAGGTGGACAGGCCAGACCACCGTCATGGGACTTCCTGTTTGGGGAGGTTATCACTGTTGCCAACAATGTCATCGGCTGCCAGCATTCCCAGGAGCCCAGTGATGGAGAGAACTGTGCTTTGCAGGAGTTGAGCAAGTTAGTGTCCCTAACGTCAGGTTCAATGTAAGTGCTGGGGTTCGGACCCTGGTTCCTCACCCAGTCAGCTTTGCTTATGTGCTGAGTCATTTAGCAGAACCCCTGCCTGCCTACGGGCCGCGCCCCCAGGTGGCATCAGGACCACAAGGATGAGTAGGGCCCAGCCTCGCCTTCAGCACGTCAAGGCACAATTGAGGACACGGACGCAGAACAGAAAACCGGGGTAGAACATGTGAAGGTCAGTCGTGTCAATGTGCACAGAGCTTTCCGGAAGTTCAGAGCAGGGCACTAGGTGGGGTGAGGGGCAGGGGCGGGGCGTGGTCAAGGAAGGCTTCCGGAGCAGGGAGTCCTGGCCCCTTAAGGCTTCATAGAGTTAAAGTTGGCAAAACTGGGGAAGGCGTTCTAGACAGACACGCAGGCCCGGGACCGAACGGCGAGCTCAGGAGCAGGAAGCAGGTCAGGTCGGTGGGCTGGAGCGTGCAGCTGTGCCCAGCAGACGAGGGGACATGCGGGGCCCAGGCCGGGGAACCCAGGGCAGCCTTGCCCAGGGGCTCGGTGCACCTGAAGTTTCCCTGACGGTGCCTGGTGGACAGGAGGCCCTCAGTGAAGGTCTGCGGGAGGGAGGGGACAGCGATGGAGCGTCACTGAAGGGGCGGGCAAAGCAGCTGCATGATGACATTGTCTGTGTGGGCGCGGTTGCGGGAACAAGGTCAGGATGCTGCAGTCCTCCATGCTGAGGCGGTGGCCTGCTGGCCGGGGAGTCGGGGGTGGTCATTTTTCAGTTCAGAGCCAGTATTAGCATAACAGTGTACAACTGTGGCAGTGCCATTCCAGAAACGACAACAGTTTCCCTTTAATGGGGCCTCAAGTACCCACAGCCGCCCCTCATGGGAAGCTGGGCTTCCTGGGAAGGTTCCCTTTGCCTGGACGTTTCCAGGGAAGCACTGCATTCAGTGTCCAGCCAGTGCCTCCTGCGGTCACTCGCTGGGGATGTCGCTGCGCTTCCCACGAGAGCTGCGGGAGCGGGAGGCGTGGCCAGTGGCATTCACCGCTGAGTGTGATTGTGTTCCGTTCCATTAACTGTCCGCCGACCTGGGCAAGCCTGACACATGCTTCCCCCTAAGTGAGCCCCACCTTCAGTGGCAGAGTCTCCAATAAAACTGCGCCAGGGAGTCTGGGGAAAGGTTTCCATCTTTGGCTGATGGAACGACTCAGCTGTCATTACCAGTTAGGACCCTGGCTGCGTGTTTCCCCAAATACGAGTCACGATGCTTCTGCCTTCGAGGCCTTCAGCTTTGACACCGTGGGTTTGTGAACTTCAATGCCACGAAGGAGGAACGGCGGGGAGCGGGCAGCCTTCATGGAGAGGCGCCTTGGAGCCCAGCCTGCAGGGCGAGAGTTCTGAGCGGACGGGGAGAAGGCCTGGCGGCTGAGGCAGGGGTGCCTGGTGCTCACGGCGGGCATCGTGCACACGGTTCCGCGGTGTGTCAGTCAGTGCACCTGATTGTGACCGACTCCGGGTGGACGAGGAACACTAAGACCGAAAGGCAGACAGACAGTGAGCCGCGAAGCCCTTGTGTGCCTTTATCCCGGAGGCGGGAGCAGCCATCGGAAATCTCACCGGGGAGGATGAGGGATCAGGTGCGAGCACTGGGAAGGTCTCTCTCAAAGCAGTTTAGAGGCAAAAGGGCGGCTGAGGCTGCAGGGAGCCGGGTAGAAGGCCACTGCACAGTCTGGTAATGGGTCCAGGCGGTTCCGATGGTGGATGGTGGTTGGTGGGTGGTGCGTGGTGTGTGGTGCGTGGTGGATGGGGAGGGAGGCTGTAGGAGTCTGTTTCCTGGGCTTGAAGGAAATAAATAACTAGCCTCCTGTTGCCCAGCCACTGCCTGGCACGACCACACATGAGCTCCGGCCCTTGTAGTGAAGTCGTGGGTGGGTCAGCGTATTCTCTGGCGTGGCAAGTCCCGGATTTGTTGGCTTCGCACTGGGCACATCGTAATCACCCAGTGAGCCCTGCCGTTGGTCTGATCTGAAGCTGGGGCTGAGGCCCACGGGCCAGGGTCTGGGTTGAGAATTAGGGCCCTAGAGCGAAGCCGAGAGGGAGCAGAGATCAGCTCGTCTACCTCCTCACCTCATTGGAGGAGACCGAGGACCTGTGCCTGAGGGAGGAAGCCAGGTGTGCGCTGCCCCGGCCTTGCTAACAGGCTGCTTCTGAAGCTGCTTAGACGTGGTCATGTGGAACTGGGGTACAGCGCTCTCTGTGAACGAGAGGCGCTCGCCTGGCTCACCTTTGCACCTCAGAGGCAGCCCTGGCTTCAGGTCACGAAGCAGAAGAAAGATGTGGGGAAAGCGCATGTGGCTGTAGGCTGAGCCCGAGGAGCCAGGGGTCTCAGAACAGAGCTTAGCAGGGGCTTGGGTGGTCCAGGCCGGGTGGTGCCGGGAGGTCCAGGCCGGGTGGTGCCGGGAGGTCCAGGCTGGATGGTGCGGGGAGGTCCAGGCTGGATGGTGCGGGGAGGTCCAGGCTGGGTGGTGCGGGGAGGTCCAGGCTGGGTGGTGCGGGGAGGTCCAGGCTGGGTGGTGCGGGGAGGTCCAGGCTGGGTGGTGCGGGGAGGTCCAGGCTGGGTGGTGCGGGGAGGTCCAGGCTGGGTGGTGCGGGGAGGTCCAGGCTGGGTGGTGCGGGGAGGTCCAGGCTGGATGGTTCGGGGAGGTCTAGGCTGGGTGGTGCGGGGAGGTCCAGGCTGGGCGGTGCGGGGAGGTCCAGGCTGGGCGGTACGGGGAGGTCTAGGCCGGGTGGTGCCTAATATTTTATATGAGAGGCACAGCAAGTTTCTCTTACAATTGCTATGCAGTTTGTGAAATGTCAGCTTTGCTTATGCCATGCAGACTAGTGCGGTATGGCCAGCATCTGCCAGGAAGCGCACTGGAGCTGTGGGGACGCTTTGCTCTAAGCCAGCGGTTCTCAACCTATGGGTCGAGACCCCTTTGGGGGTCAAATGATCCTTTCACAGGGGTCACCTAAGACCATCGGAAAACACATATATAATTACATATTGTTTTTGTGATTAATCACTATGCTTTAATGATGTTCAATCTGTAACAATGAAATTGGGGGTCACCACCACATGAGGAACTGTATTAAAGGGTCGCGGCATCAGGAAGGTTGAGAACCACTGCTCTAAGCAAAGGGGGAGCCGTGGAGCAGAGGACGCCCGTTTCAGAGGACGGGGTGCAGGGGCCCAGGGGACTCAAGGAGACCAGCGGTGAGACTTGCATCTCACAGGAGCAGGGATGGGGGCTCAGACCGGGGTGGTGGCAGCACTGGAAACAGCAGAAGAGGTTCAGGATAGAATGTTGAGTTGAGCCCACAGAACTTCCTGGCGGACCCGATGGGGCGTGAAGGAAAGAGAAGTCCGTGGTGACGCCACGGTTTCAGGTGGATAACGCCAAAGATGAATTGAGAAGGCACCGACTGAGATGCACGGTTGGGGGTGGGGGTGGGGGTGGGGCTCAGCAGTTGGATTCTGTATATTTTGAATTGGACTTGCAGCACCTAGGAGATCTGTCTGGTGAGAAATGTGTCAGCATCATGATGTTCCCTGAAGGCCTGTGTCCTGAATTGGACACTGGGGCTACACAGAAACCCGAGAAGCCCCTGGAGTGTGCCTTCTCACCTATGACCTTTCACCTTCCAAGACAGGGCACAGTTGCTGTATTTGGAAAGGTCACAGGAAGTCAGTTTAAGAGCCTGCAGCGGAGGTTGCATCCTGACATGAGGTTCTCCTCATGCTTTATTCCACTTTGGTTTGGAATCGAGTCATCAGGAAGAAAACAGTCTCCTCATTGCAAAGATACCAGGTCTGGTCACCCCTGAGTTCCGAGAGGCCGCTGTGCAGCTGACTGGATGTAAGCAATCTGGCCACGTCATCTGCCACCCATTGGCTGCCAGGGCTGTGTTGGCTCCTCTGATTACCAGTGATTGTAGAATTTATTAAACACACCTTAGCGACACCGAACATATAACAGCTCTTGATACTTTACTGCCCAGTGAATGAAAGGTAAGAGGTAAACGTGTCCAGAGTTAATGAGCCCAGTTCCTTAAAATAAATATATGTGCTCACCACATAAGATTGGAAGGTATTGCAAGAAAATTTTACACGTGATTATTTTGGAGGAGACACGGAGTAATATCTTATTTGTACGCTTTTTGGTGTGTGATAGATATGTTTTACCCCCATGGGCCCCCTCCAGCCTCCCCCCCCCCCCAGCCTTCACCACCCCACTCTCTGTGTCCATGGGTTATGCATACAAGGGCGTTGGTTGATCACCTCCCACCCTCCCTGCCTGCCTTGCCTCTGAGATTCCGCCGTCTGTTCCATGCTTCCATGTCTCTGGATCCACTTGGTTTATCTGTTTATTTTGTTCATGAGATTCCACATATGAGGGAGATCATGTGACATGTAATACTTTCAACAATAAAGATTTTTAAAAATAAAAATAAAAGTATGTTTTACTTTAATAATTAGCAATAATGGCCATTTGTTAAAGGAAATGAGCACAGCAGCCATGTGGCCCCTTTTCTCTCTGGCCCGCAGCTCACCATCTGCTACCTGGACATGCTGATGACCAGTGCGGAGCGCCGGCAGCAGCTGAGGGACCAGTACTGCTTCGACTGTGACTGCGCCCGGTGCCTGACGCAGGACAAGGTATGTGCCAGGTGGTATCCAGCGATCTTGCTGAGAACTCTACTTTTATGTCATTGGTCCACACCTAAGCGACCGTCACTGCGTCGTAGGAAACGGAAGTGAATACAGGAATGCACAGGGCTGCCCATGTTTCATTCACTGGAACTGTTATCACCCACCAGCAATTCGAGGTTTAACCTCAGCAGGAACCCATGGCGCGCAGAGTCTGAGGGAACGTAGGCATTAAACGTGTCTCACCCCCGGACCTTTTGACGAAATCTAGTGTATTTTCCTCTGTACCACGACTTCCTGTGGCCTCTGATGCCAGCATTCATGGGGAGAAGGCCCATGAGCTCATTCTAATGCTGTAGGAACCAGTGAACATGATCTGTTTCTTATGAAAAAGAACTTGTAGAAATAAGTGAATCAGGTGGGAAAAGGTGGGCCCACTGCTAATAGTTTCCCAGGATTCCATCCCCTTAGTGTCAACCTTTTCCCTCGCAGGCACGACGGGAAGCATAGGGGCTGCCCTGGGTTTCTCCCAGACTCATCTGGAACGTCGGGCAGCAAGCTCGCTTTCACCCATAGCCTTGGTTGGGGATGGGAAGGCCTTCGGATTCAGTGCCTCTTCCGTGACATCTGTATGGCAGTTCCTCAAAAGTGTCTCAAATGTGTGCTTGTATTCTGTTCAAATTGGGGTCATGTTCACTTTGGCTTATTGTTACAGTTGAAATCTGGCTAGAATGGTATATTAGGAGAGGGCTTGGCTACAAAAAGCAGATAACTGAACTCACTTTAGCAGGTGTATTTGTCTGAAAAATTCTAGAGAAGCTACAGCCCAAGACAGGAGCAACTTCTCAGCTAGCTCATCACAGGCCAGCATCCTCCGGTCTTGTTCCTCAGCTGTCCCTAGCGTGTGCCTCATGGTCCCAGGCTGCCTGCTGTCCCCACCCTTACTCAATGTGTCCAAGCTCTGGACATGGAAAAGAAGAGGCAATAAAAAGCAGAGAACAGCCCGGCCGGTGGGGCTTAGTGGTTGAGCGTTGACCTATGAACCAGGAGGTCACGGTTGGATTATTGTTCAGGGCACATGCCCAGGTTGTGGGATGGATCCCCCAGTGTGGGGTGTGAAGGAGGCAGCCAATGGATGTCTCCCTCTCATCGATGTTTCTCTCTGTCTCTCTCCCTTCCTCTTTCTAAAGTTAATAATTTTTAAAAAGGCAGCGAACAAAGGGAAACCCTCCTAGGGATTTCCACCTGCATCTTATTGTTCAAAACTGTCTCACGTGATGACTTCTAGCTGTGAAAGAGGTGAGGAAACTGGGTGTTCACTTTTCAGCCTTTATACTCGAGGAAGACAAGGGCAGAAGAGGCTGTGAATGGCTTTCGGTTAGCCCAGTGGTCGGCAAACTGCAGCTCGAGAGCCACATGCGGCTCTTTGGCCCCTTGAGTGTGGCCACGAAGTTTCAATCGCACTGTACGTGCGCGCCCACACGTGGTATTTTGTGGAAGAGCCACACTCAAGGGGCCGCAGTTTGCCAACCACTGGGTTAGCCCATCGGCAGTGTCCAGCACATCCACTGAGACCATCTTCTTCCTCTGAACTAACAGTGTGTTTAATATTGTATTAGGGTGCTTCAGAGAAAGAGAACTAGCAGGGTGTGTGTGTATGTTATTCAGCCATTAAAAACAAATCTTGCCACTTGTCCTGACATGGATGGACCTTGAGGGCATTATGCTAAGTGAAGGGAGTGGGACGGAGAAGGACAAATACAAGAGAATGAGGCTGATGGTCTCAGGGAAGGTCCCTCCAGCTCTGTGGTCTCATGTTTCTCTGAATGTTTCCTAGTGACAGTGAGTGGGGTAAGTGTTTAGATGAGAATGTGAACTTGCTTTCAGTTAGTTCATCAGTTATATTGTAAGTTTCTATTTCCATGAAAGTTTTATTCTGATTAGCAGTATAAATCTCCCTTCTGAATCGCCATGCTGTGGATTTGCTCTGAAAACATAACAGAAGTAAATCCAGCCTCGTGCAGTCCCAAACGATCGTAAATTCACAGTAAGTTCCGCCAGAAGCAAATTTACTGTCAGGCTTATGTGTCTGCTTTTCTTGGAACCTAGAACCTTCGTCTAGGCCTCCGTTTATTAGGTGCCTGTGTGCGCATGTGACTGCTCTGCCGTGTGTCCTGTTTCAGGGAGGCAAGAGGCTTTCGGTAGTGGGTGTGATTTACATGTGTGGGTGAGTTGTCATCTGTAATCAGCAGCTGCTTAATTTTGGGGGGCAGTCAAATTTACCTCCAAAGAAGGTTTTGGAATGATTTGGCTTCTCCTGTGGCTGCCCAGCTCAAAATACAAGGCAATAGAAGCAGAACAGACCCAATGGAATTGAGTGTTTCCAAAAGTTGTGTGTAATATGTAGCGTGCTTTCTGGGTGTCACATGTTTTGTTGCAAAAAAAACACCCCCAAACCCATACTTCCTTGCCATGACAGTCTTTCTTCCTAAAGCCTGGCACAGCTGGTTGATCCTTCTTTTAAAACAGTGTCTTTTAATTTAGCCACAGCCCTGATGCCTCACTCCTCGATGGAGTTGCCCCTAACTGGTCACCTGGCCCCCAGTCTCTTCCCTTCCATCCATCTCGACCCCTGATAATGTTCTCTTAGATGCCACTTCTCCGCTCCAGAAGTCTACAGCATGGAGCAGTATCTAGTCTTCAGGGTCAGCGTCTGGCTCTTACCTTGGCATCCACTGTCCTCCAATGTCATGCCCCATGATCCAGCTGCCTCAGTTTCTGGTCTCTTCTTTCTTCTCTTCTCTTCGCTCTTCTCTTCCTTTACATAACCTTTGTATCTAATTGTACCCCTTTCCCCACCCCAAAGATTCTGAAGTGGCCGACAGGCACACACATGCACACACACATAGTAAAGCAGCAACACAGTTTGTAATGATTGTGAAATAAGAGTGACCATGAATAAGCTGAAAGCAGGTTAGTACCCAGAGTGCACGCCATGTGATTTTACATACAAGATGTGCTCCAGCTTTCCCAGCAGCCAAAGCTAAGAGACTGGTTTCACAACTCGCACCCCGTCCGCGGCTCGAGCACGGCTGCTCCTGGCACCGAGGCCTGCGGCTCACAGGGTCCCCTGAGGTTGATGGCCAACATTCTTATCAGAACTCCCCAGCAACGTAAATGGCCAATTTTCATAATATTCCTCAATGCGGCTGCTTGGCATAATTTCAAATTATAATTTAACGAAAGAAGTATCAAAAAGGGTGAAGAAATATGTCATCTAAGTGCTTATCTCACTGACGGTTTGCTTCATTCCAAGAATATAATTTAGACTAGAACAGAGGTGAGGAACGTCCGGCCCGTGGGCCATATAAGGCCCAAAAAATCACTTGGTCTGGCCCTGCCAAGGCATCAGGGGTGAGTTAGTTAAATGTTTGACCAAATACAGCAGGCTAACGTTTAAGTTGGTACTGTTGTATGGCCCAAGAATGATGTTATAAATATCCACATGGCCCCTGGCAGAAAAAGGTTCCCTACGTTCATGTTATTTGTCGTGGTCTTTTTTTATTTTAATTGTTACTAAAGTGATACACGTGTGCAGTTTGAAAGTCGCAGTACCGGACCCAGATGAAACGTAATTAGCCTTGCTCTGTTTCCGCCCACGTCCTGCTCCCCGTGGTCTGCATGTGGCTTCTGGCGTTTATTCCATGTTTCCCAGAAATAACGCTCCCTTAAACCATGTCCCAGGAAAGGTTTTGCTATTGAGTTTGTTTAATGACTGTTTTTTAATTTCCCAGATTTCGGATTCACTTTTTACCTGTTTCTGTTGGATAACGTTGTGTTCACTCTAACGCGTGCCTCTCTGTTGTTTATTTTTTGACATCGTCAGTCAGCGCCGTAGCTGATTTTACTGGACTCAGACCAAGCTCTGCTGGTTGATTTTTGCTGGTTACCTTCCTTAGCGCTGCACTTCACTGAGTGTGTTAGCGTTTGGGACAGCGGGCTCATGTTTGCCCCTTTGGGTTTTGTTTTGTTCCTTTCTCTCTCCCTGTGCTCATCCCTCCAGCTGGGAGCTTTGTACTTGCCTCTCCCAGGCCCGTCAGGCCCAGCTCAGAACTGGACTCAGTGGCGTTGGCACCTGCTGCGTCCCAGTGCTGTGCAGGCTGGGCCGGGTCCGGTTACTAGGTGATGGGCATCTGTGGCGAGCCGGCACGGCCATGGCATACTCAGCCCCACGTTGGGCGCTTATGTCCCGTGCCAGCTCAGCCAGGTTCAGTGACCATGAGAGGGGGCAGTGAAGGATGGAGAAAAGACAGACAAGAGAAAAAGCTGGGTCTGGGTGGGACGCCACCCTCTCGGATGGAGAGACAGCGCCATGGATTCCAAGCCGTGTCTTTATTTTATAGCAGATTCCACGAGGCAAAGTAAGGGCGTGGTCAAGATGTTTACAACATTCTCATGGGTTTCAAATCTACTCAATTACATGCACCTGAACTCCACCAAGCCCACATCACTCAGGCACGTGGGGCCACATGTTCGGACCACAGGTTCAAGCTCACAACTATAGCTGTTGGCTATAATTGTGCTGGGAGGGCTCTGCCCTCCAAGCTGGGACTTGCACGTGGGACTGTGCCCTCTCATGAGTCCGAGGCTTGAACCTGTCCAAACACTGTAGCCGCTCTCCACAGGCATCCTGGCTCTGCCCTGCCGCCAGCCTTCCCAGGCCAACAGCTCCCTGTGAACAGGTGTCCTCAGCCTCTGATTTATAAACAGGAGCTCCTCACCCCGGCTTCAGGCTGAGAGCTCCCCTCCTCGCCTTTCTCCGGCGGAGCATTTCAGTCCCCGGTAACCCTCGAAACTGACCTGACACTGTGACTCCGCTCCCAGACCCGAGGCCCCACATGCTCAGCTCACTGCTTCCCGTTGCTGCTCCATGTCTGTCCAGGGAGACGTGTGTCTGGTATGTTGGCCTCGTAAAGCTATTAGTACTTGGGTTCCTCTTTATATTTTAC